GGATTATGCAAAAATGTGTAACTCTGAGTATTATTAAAACAATACAACGTGTTGCTTTAGCTACAGCAGTACGCATTCACTAAATAATTCATTTATGGAATTCCAGTTACCAATTTCTATGGTAACATGACTATTGGCAGTCACTATGAATGCAATAAGAGAACACAATCAACTCTGATTTAAGTGATTAAGTTTGCAATATTTCAGACTCTTTATACATTTATTTTGGTCCATATTGTAGCCTTTAAAAGATTTTTTATGACAAACGTATTTAATACAAAATAACATTTTTAAACCTTAAGCAATATAAATTGTACACAATTTTGAAACTGATTTTCCAATAATTTCTCAGTTGTAGCAATTTATCAATAAAATATATCACCTTTAGTTAACTAATAACCTTTAGTAACTATGAAAAATAAAATAGAATCTACATGTACATTGTAGATTTTACAAATATAGTACCATTTGTGCAGTTAGAGACAACCATTTCTCTTCTGTTTTGAAACTACTGCCAGATCTATGCCTGACAGCTTTTCCTGGTAATTTTTGGAAAAACTGGGGCTTTTGATGTCCGTTTTGTTCTTCATTTTTTTCTCCAGACTCTAGAGCTTTCCTAGAACTCAAATTTGACTTACAAAGAGGAATTGTTTTTGTTACCCTTTTGGATTCTCTCTTTGAAGAATCAGATTGAAATGTTGGTTCTGAAGATGAAGATAGTTGAACAAGTTTCTTTAGCTGCTTTGGTTTATCATTCACTGAAACAAATATTATATGACATAGTAAATTATTATATATAACATATATGGTATTAAGAGTAACTTTTCATTATTTATTTAACTCTCTTCCTACAAGGTTGGTCGATTTGTACTCGTTATGGTTTCCATACTATAACTTTTAATACACTTTGTATATCTTCACAAAATTTGGCAGGCTTTTAGTAAACAAGTCTTTTGTACACAAAAAAATCAAATTTTTTTATGAAATATTTTTACTAAAGATTTGTCTGTGAATATATATCATATTTCTATAAATTAGTCTGAATGCAAAGTTATTTTCACATTAAGAGTGAAAATACTTTTCTTCATCTCAAAAATCTTAAATTTTATTTGCATAATCTCTAAAACCTCCTAAGTAAATTTCATACATTTTTTCACAATGAAACTTTATATTTTATCTATTATTTTCTTTTCCCTAACTTTACACAAGGTTGGTCAATTTGATTGACATCGTAAAATCCCAATAAATCTAAATTACCCTTTTTCTTTCTAGAATGACTTCAAAATTATAATAAGAGACTACATTTGTTCATCCTAAATAGCTTTAAACTCATAACAGCATACATCTATTTATACTTTACTTTTATTGTTTTATTGCCCTTTGAACCCATCTCGTGAAAAAAATTTATTATATTATTATTATTTATTTCCCCTAATCTAACCTTAACTAACATAAAAAGTTCCCTATTTTTACATTTTAGTTACTTTAATAATACTAAATAAAGAATACACATGAAAGACAAGAAAAAAGTACTTACATGTGCTTTTTTGTTGTTGGTGACTCTGGATGACACTTAACCCAACTTTTTTATACTAATGGTAGTACTGCACTAAATAATTTGTTATTCACTTAAAAAGGCACCAAAGAACACAGAATAATAACGTTTAAAAAGCAGACAATGTCCCATAACTGTCACAATTTTTCTGGCTTTCAAACTATGCAACAAGATCCATTAAAACTTCATCTAAGCTCATTGATGTTTTTAATCAAGCTTGAACTGAAAGCGAAATTTACAATTCTCTTTACAGAAAATGATATAATACGTCATTTGATAAATGAAAACCTTGGCTCTCTATTGGTTATAAATATAATATATTGAATGTCAGAGAGAATTATTGTCAATCTCCGAAAGTTTGTTTGTTTGTAATTAAGCACAAAGTTATACAATGGGCTATCTGCGCTCTTCTCACCATGGGTATCAAAACCTGGTTTCTAGCACTGTAGGTCCACAGACATACCGCTATGCCACCGGGGGGGGGGTAGCAAGAGGGGTCTGATTGTCTATTTCATGGCTCTGTAACCAATTAAGATTGAAGGCTATGAAAATTATGCTTTGCCTGAGTGATGATGATATGATAAGGAGGAATTTACGTTAAATTTCGTCCTTCTTGGAGGGGTGGTAAATAAATTAGAGAAGAGGGGATGCGTAGAGAGCAAATATCACAATTCTCACATTAGGAGAAATTCTACATTTTTTTATATTGCCTTAAAAAGTAAAAACTTAAAACTTATATAGTATTAAAATATGGATTATTAGCTACATTTATAGATATATCATGAAGAAAAAGTAGTTTAATCAAATTTTAAATATAACTCACTAAAACCTTGTGGCATGTGCAGATAAAGATGTTCATAGAGAGAGGGTTAATAATGTACCAAGACAAACTATGCACAGTAAGTAAATACACAGATGTGATATTTTTCAACAACTAGATTTAACAAGAAAACTTTAAGCTTTCATATATATATTTGCATAATGAATATTGCTTTAAAGGGCTAAAATTCTACTGTGAATACAGTCTTGTATCAAATATGAGCAGTAATCCTACAATTCATATAACGTACATTCAGATTCATATCCACAAAAACTGTCTATACTTTTATTTTGTAATTGTGCACATTGTAAATATGGTTTGAGAAGGGTTTTGTTTTGGTTGTTGTTTTGCACAAAGATACACAATGGGCTGTCTGTGCTCTTCATACCACAAGTATTGAAACTTGTTTTTTAGCATTGTAAGTCTACAGACTTACCACTGAACCACTAGGGAGCACTTTGTGGAGGGAATCAAATATTTGTAAGCATATTGTTTCACCAACTTATGTAATATTTTTCACAAAATGTCTGACAAGGATTTGAACCTGCATTGCAACTTAGAAGCCAATAGTACTTTAAATAGCTTTCATCGGCCATTGCTAGTTATAAAGTCATGTGAAGGCCTATTTAGGTTGAAACAGCATTTATATCTTGCTTATTACTATAATTAATCAGCAGCTTATGGATGTTACTTTGTAATCTAGTTAAATTTATATATGCATATGCACATAACTATTCATATTATTACTACTTGCCATACGCTATATCTAAGCCTAGACCTAGATTAAAATTAGTAGCAATAAAGTATAGCAGGAGTTCTAATGCCAATCCAATGGCCTAAATGCAAGTATTAGAAATATTGATTGAATTAAAAGTTGAACATCTAAGCTTTATAATGATTTATATTTAGTATCATTCCTACAACAAAAATATATTGGTTATATTTGAATAGGAATAACAGCTTTGTAATAAATGGGCATTTGAAATTTTTGTGTGCAATTTGATATACTGCTATTTTCATGACTGTGCATGAGTGTCACTTAGTAAAAAAAAAGTAAATTTTCCTTCCTATTTAAGAGAAGTCTTTAGACTCATAAAATGTAAAAAAAATGAAAAAGAAGAGAAAACATGAGTAGATTTACATTATTGTGAAAAAGCTGAAACATCAAATATCTACAAAAGGTGCAACAAATGGTTAACAGCTGAAAATCAAAGAACATATCACCAATAATACTTTAGTCATTAACTACATCATGGGTTCTTAACAATGTCATAATTAATAACTCAATTTTCAAAACATGAACTTGTCTAATTTTATTAATATACAAAAATAAGTAATGTTTTTGTTCACATATTACTGTTAATTTCATTATATGGAATCAAACAACATTACCTGACTAAAACTAGTGGATTGATTACTACTGCTTTACACTATATGTTTTATGGTACTTCAACTGCTTAAATTAATCTCATGTGCACTGTCTATTTCACACAAACTTGACACAAATGAGCTTCTTTGGTGTGTGTTTAAGTGACTCAAAGAAAATAAAACAGATAATGATTCATGATTTGACATTCTTTTTCATTTTGATGCATTACCATGAGTAGAGCAATAAATGTACCAACATTTAAATTTTCTACACTTAAGCTATGGGTGTTCACAACCTGGAAAATTAATATTTATTTAATATAATGAACAGTGTACATAACATGTAATATCTTATATATATATATTGACTTCATTAGAATATAGTGATTTCATTTGTACATGAAATTTAATAATAATAGTAGAACTAGATAAATTTTGTCTGCACTTTCCAGACTTGATTAGTAATTAGTCAAATGCCAACCATTATTTTGAGCTCTAAAATCAACTTTTTCTAATACTTTAGCATAGATGCAGCAACAATTTTAAGAAATACTTGAATTTGAGTTCTATACAATAAGTCAAAAACTAGAAAATTATTCTGTATGTAAGTTTCATTATTCTTTACAAAATTTCCTTCAATAATCACTAATAGTTCATTCTTATTCCAATAGAGCAAAGAAATTTTAGATTTTTACACATTCTTAGTGGTGCTCTCTTCAATTCTTCATTTTTCCATGCACTGCCAGATGTTTTTTCTATATCAAAACATTTATCCTGCAATCCAAATAAGTACAATTATGTTAGTATAATAAACAGACAAACAAGTAAGTTTATTTTGTACAACTATCATCAGTATTAAACAAAGTTTCAAACTGTAAGAATAAAATAAAACAACAAAGGTGTGTGCGTGTGTGTGTGTATTTCTGACAGTATCTTATGAAAATTGTTTATTAGTTGGTAAAAATTACTACAATAACCAATTAATAAAAAGAAATTGTTTTATTTCAAGAAAATTATAAACAAAACTCAATTCAAAACATGTCATATTTTATGAAAATAAAATTTAAGCCAATCATATGATCAGAGATAATACTGTAGGCTGAATAAAAGGTAACTGCATTTGTGTGTGTGCACCTACAAAATGGAGCCATCAAAGACATTGTGCCCGCATCCACAACCAAAACTCGCACGTCAGGACCTAGTAC